CAGGAAGATTAGGTGACAAAATCTGAAGCGAGGAAGCTATAGTGTAACTTCAGCTGGAGACACACAGACAAATACCAAGAGAAGTTGACTACAAAACCTACTCACAAGAATTAACAGACAGGACGATACTAACAAAAAAGTATTTTTAATATTAGGCTTGTGAGAGATTTTCTGATGAGAACTATGTCATTCTTACAACACAGATGAAAGATGGATCAGGTCTGCCCTGTAGTAATATATTCCACCATTGTAACGATGCCTGAGCCATGCTGCTTAGGCTGCCTCAGCCATCCCTGCTCATCCCTGCCCTGTACTGCCCTTTCCACTGCGCCAGAACCGTTGTTTATACTATCATGTAGTGAATCAAATCAGGGAAAAAATCTGCCAGGAAAAAAACAAAAGTTCTTATTTTATTTATTTTTTGGGGGTGGAGGTTATATGTATTCTCTAATTCAGTTTACCACAGGCCTGTATTAAGGGACTGTGGGGTACTAAGTTCTGTACACGCACATCCCCTGTACTACGGAGGCAATGGGGCAATGACTACTTAGTTCAGTGCTGCTATGAAACTGCTCATGAAAACTACAGTTCAGAACTCTTCTAGGATATAAAAAGAGATCATTTCAATAGTCAGGTACAACAACTACTACTACTACTACTACTATAGTAGGACCCTCCCCTCTCAACCCTCCCCTGAAACTACTACTACTAATACTGCTACTATAGTAGGACCGTCCCGTCCCCCCCCCCCCCCCAAAAAAAAAAAACCTAGAGGCATATGACATAGCTACTCAAATAGAAAATCAGGCAAGGACTCTTAAATTTCACTCAATGATGATGCCTTCAGCAGCACATTCCTGTTCCATGCCATTGTGCTGAGGAAGTCTAATCCATCAACATCACCATCATTGGATTTGGTTGAAACAACAATGTAATTTAGTGAATTAACTTTATTTAATAGTCTCTCCTCTTGTGATGGAAATCTCAATTTAATATAAAGCCACAAAGCTGAAAAGACTTACACTGGATTACCCCTCCCTTTAGGGAGGAGGAAGGTAGGAAAAAGACTGGAGAAAGCAAATGCAAGATCTTCTTTGGTTGCAACTGAAACAAGATCTCCCATAAACACAACAGCAGATGAGATGTTGAGAAACTTTTCTGTTCTTTGAACCTGTGTATATCCTGAGTGCATTAACTTTTAAGTGCTCTTACAGAAGATATCCATTTACTATTACCTCCTGTTCTTCAGATTTTTTGAATGTACACTTTCGTCAAACTGGGGGCAGGGGGAAGTCTGATTTTAGAAGTGCAATATACCAGGCATAACAGGTTTTTTCAGTTTGCTTTGCAGATTTGTTGGAACTAGGGTTGTAGCCTTTCAAAGAACAAGGACCAGAGTCAGGAACTGTACAAACAGCATGCTCATTAGTCCGCGCTGGAATTCTGTGCACCCTTCACTCCT